ATAGAGTTTTCTGGGTGGCTGGGAACCTGCTCATATGAACTTAGAGCAATTGTGGCAGCATGTACAGAGCCATGCAAACTCAGACCTGACAAAATCCCAGCATAGAACTGGGAAAAGGGAAAAAAGACCCAATCTTAGTTGAGGAACTATTGGCAGATGATCGTTGCTGGCTGAGGGAGAGCTGGTCGTCTTTAAAGGGAGTGGTGCTAGCTAGACTGACCATGCTCCAGTGATATATATATATATACATATTTGCTATTTTTGACAACTTTGCTAAGCAGATTTATGATTTAAAGAGTTAAAGATTTGGCTGGAAATTTGATTGGTCATAATTGTTGTCAAGGACATTTATTTCAAGGAATTGAGAACCATAGCCCTTCCAATGCAAATACTCGGAACGTCTTCCCCAAAGTCTCTAAGGACTGCAGAACTCATGAGCACTGCCTGCCTGAGACATCAATAATGGTTGTTCATGTTATAAATTACAATCATTGGATCAAATATGCAAAAGATGCCTTAAGAGATCCAACACACCAATGATCTAATAGTTCAGAATATATCTGAGAAAAATATCAATTCCATAAGAAACTCAAAGCCTTCTGGAATTCTGTGGAAAATAGTTTTTTAAAGTCTCCATCCAGGAGGAGATTTGTGATGTGGATGTTGACATGACAATGCGAAGCAATGTGGACAAGAAACCCACCTGTGTAATCAGACATCTCAGGCTTACACATAATAGCAGGTTTTAAATTCCATAAACTAGGATTTTCACTAAAAATGTCCAGTTGTTGATGATCAACTGGATGTCAGTGAGTTAGGCCCAACATGACCAATGATTAAAATTCAATTTTTCATAATTCCTAGCCATTTTGTAGCATGACCAATGACTTTATCATCGTCCTGAGGGTTATCAGAACAGTTCCCAACTGCCCCACCTGCTCTGCACACTATTCTAGACAGCAGCCAATGAGTCTTCACAATATGAGTAAACACAAATCCTCTACTAAAAGAGGCTCAAACTGCATCTTCATAGAAGGGCATCCGAAGTCTTTACCATGACTCTCAGACACTACAAAGCCAGGGTCACAGTTGCATGTGTCCCCGGATCCTCTCCCTGGCCTCGCAAAGCTATTGACCGTTTCACTGGATGTGATGGCTAATCTTGATCGTGAACTTAACATACTTGGGAAGAGGGAATCTCAACTGAAGACTTTCCTCCATCACCTTGGCCTGTGAACATACCTGTGGGGCATTGCCTGAATTGCTAATTGATGTAGGAGGGTCCAGCTCACTGTGGGCGCATCCCTGGGCATCCCTTTTATAGCCTGGGCTGTATAAGAACGGTAGCTTAGCAGCCAGGGGAAGCAAGCCAGTGAGCAGCGTTCCTCCATGGTCCCTGCTTCAGTGTCTGCCTCTAGGTTCCTGACTTGAGTGCTTGCTGGGGCTTCCTTTGATGGTAGACAGCAACGTGAAGCCAAATAACCCGTTTTTCACCAAGTTGCTTTTGGTTGTGGAACTTAACAGAGCAAACGAGAAGCAAGCAGGACCCTGGGCTCCAAAGAGCACACTGACTACTTTTCACTTTAGGTAACCCCTGCCCTTGTTTGCTTTCTGTTGCTGTGACAAAACACTGACCAAAACCAGCTTGGGGAGAGAAGAGTTCACCTTACACTTTCAAACAGCAGTCCATCACTGAGGGAAGTCAGGGCAGGAAATAAAGTAGGGACCTAGAGGGAGGAGCTGTGGCACAGACTGTGGAGGAACTCTGCTTGTTAACTTGATCCTTGGACCTGTGGCTCAACCTGCTTTCTTATACAACTCAGGACCAACACCTGCTCGGGGCTGGCACCATGCCCACTGAACTGGACCCTCCCACATAAATTATCAAATAAGAAAACACCTCACAGACAACAACCACAGGCCCACCCATGGAAGCAAGGCCTCGATTGAGGTTTCTGCTCACAGCCCCGGCTCTTGAATCTACCACTGGGCACGTTCTCCCACCGTTCAATTCTCTATTTAAATATTATCAAATGATCAATGACCTCCAACCACACTTGGCTCTCCTTCTTCACATCCATCTGAGTTTGTATCCATCTGTGACAGCTCTTCCAGGCCAAGAACTGTATTATTTTTTTCATCAATGAGCTCTCTAATACCAGATTTTAACTGATGAATAAATGAAGTTACACACTTAGATGAATCCCGTTCCTCACCGTTTTCCAAGAGATGCGCAGTAATGCAATTAAGTAACATTTATTTTCATGTCTCTAAGAAAATCAGTAGAGCCTTTAGGTTCAAGTTTGTAACTGTAGACACAAAATGAGATCCCTAGGAGAGCCCCGTCACACACGACTGCCCCACAGCCCACCCGCTGCATTGCTCTACATCACAAATGCCCTTAGCACATTTTCTTGCACAGACCACTTAGCTTTCTCACCTTCTCTATGTGTACTTCCATGTGACATTTTGTCTTTCTGTTCATCAGTACAGCCCACATTCTTCCAAATAGCAGGATCCTGTCTCTTTAACTTTGGTGGTAAAACACGCAGTGCCTGGCCATCTGCACACCGGACTGTATAAAAGCCATTTAATGATGAATTAGGTTCTCATTTAGGTTCATTACGCCTGGCTTTTCAGGCAATGTTCCGGATTTCATGCCTTTGTTTGTAATGAGTCATGGCCCCCTTGACAAACGGGAGAGTCATTAAACTAACCAGGTCATCAATAGAAGCCTGTGCTGGAGTGCCTGTTGCATATAGTTATTTTATCTTCAATAATAGTTGAATACCATAAATGATCACAGCCTGTGCATGTGATGGGGTGGGGGGTGAAGGTCTCTGAGAATGGGCCTTCTTACCTGTGCCTCTCTCAGGCAAGCGGGGACATAACAATCGATGGGTCAGGGGACTTGTTATAGAGGTCTTCTGTATATTTGAATCAATTCTGCAAGGGACATGACTCCTTGCTTAACAAAAGAGTTCAGAATTACTCAGTGGCCCCTCACATTGCTTTGGGGATCTTACACATATGAATGTGCAGATATTTAATTGTATGTGCAAGATTTTCTCCAAACATCTTTGGAAAAGAGTCTCATCATTTTTCATCAAGTTATCAGCAAGTACGCCAATAAAAAATATTGCAGTGCAATTATTTTTCCCAAACCATAAACTGAATCTTTACTCTTCAGAGTCATGTTGCAGAGGATAGAGATGTTATAATTTTGAAATAGAAAATGCTGAATTCAGTCAGGCAGTTTTTGAAAGAAAGGTGATGTTCTTCCATAAGAGTGTTTATTGTTTGTATGTTTTCATATATTGGAATAAAATCACATTAAACCATATACTTCTCATAGTTTTCCACAGAAACATCACATACATCCACTGCACACACTTGGGTCAGCTGTTCTAATTGGCTTGTATTTGTGTTGTCTTCAACTTTCCAGTTATATTGAACTATACAGTGTTATTTAAACTATGTGTCATGTTGAAAACTTGGTAGAAACGCAAATGCTCATATTCATCCAATTCCTACATTTCCCTCCAATTCCTTCTGCGTGGCCCCTCCCGTCTCCGAGTCTGGCACACCTTCAAGCTGCCTAAGCCAACGCAGTTGCTCTGGCCTCCTCATCACTCATCTCTCACTCTGCCAAGATGTGCTATTGGCTCCAGCTTTGCAGTGGATCCCAAACCCAGCCACTTTCCACCCCGCTCCCCATCCCTGTGTGACGGCTGTGCAGCATGTGCCTTGCTCAGACAGTCCCAACCTCATTCCTCGTCTCCCCTTCTGGTCCCAGACTGGCCTTTCCACAACACAGTGGCCAGTGACTCTTGTATTTAGACTATTCAGTTACCACATTTGCTGTCTATGGTTGGTCTCCATGCCCTCCCCTATCTAGAATGTTCATCTGGTCATGTCAGGAATTTGACTTTGTTGAACTTTTAGAAATGCCTGGCCCGGGTTGAAGGCTCAATAACTATTTGGTGAATGAAGGGTATGGTTTGAGTTTCCAGTGGCAATTCATGAAGAGAGGCCTGTATTAGCTGGAGTCACAATGAGGCCTATGGGGCTGGGGGCATCTAAAATGGGCTCTAGGGGGCTGGAGAGATGGCTCAGCGGTTAAGAACACCGGCTGTTCTTGCAGAAGACCTGGGTTCAAATCCCAGCACCCACATTGCAGCTAACAACTGTTCGTAATTCCAGTTCCAGGGGATCTGACAGCCTCTTCTGTCCTCTGCAGGCATTGCAAAACATGGGTGCACATACATGCAGGCAATACACTCATGCACATAAAATAATGAGATCTTAGCAGACAGCCTGAGGAGGATGGGTTCCAACTGTGTATAATAATAAAATAAAATGGGCTCAGGGTCTGTGGAGATGGACATGTCATGTGGCAGCCATTCATGGCTAAAGCAGAAAAACCGAGAATACCGAACCCTCCTTGAGTCTCCATGACTGACTTCAAATCTGCATTGAAGTAGCTATTTAAATGATGCTGCAGAAATTATTTAACTTCTCTGAATTTGAGTTTTCACACTTGTAAACTAGGAACCATACCATCTAACTCAGAGCATTACTGTGAGGAAATCAGGGACATACAACTCACAGCCAGTGGCGGGCTGCCCAGTGACCACTCAATAAAGAAGAGCTATGACCGGGGCATAGTTTGACCGGGATACAGATGAAGTGCTCGCCTAACCGTGCTATTTTTCCAATAGGAAGTCAGGCCAAAATGTATTGCATTTACTCAGCACTCCCAGAGAATATCCATCTATTGTCCAACTTGAAAAATGGAGCTGAAAATGGCTGGTCTTGTGTTTGAAGCACAAAACGCCGGCGCTGTGATGCGTTGGCCTATCGGGCATGAGATCGCTTGGCATACAGAAGGAATACAAATGTGTGTGTGTGTGTGTGTGTGTGTGTGTGTGTGTGTGTGTGGTGTCTCTGCCGAAGATTACTTCTCTTTACCCACCAGCCTGTTTTTGTTTCTTTTCCAGTTGCGCCTACGATTCAGGAAATTAAGTCTGGCACGGTGACCCCGGGACGCAGCGGACTGATAAGATGCGAAGGCGCAGGTGTGCCACCGCCAGCCTTCGAATGGTTCAAAGGAGAGAAGAAGTAAGGCCTTTGCGAGCTCACGTGTTTGTGTTCCCATGCTCACTTGAAGCAGTTTCCCTAACTGGCTTGAACGAGTCTCAGAAGCCTCCTTACAGCAGGCAGGGTGAAGGGCCCACGTGGGGAGCGTGAGGAGCTGACGGTGTTCCAGGAGAAATGTCTGCATTGGTTTCTCTAATCTCAGAAAAGCCTGCAAATCCCCCAAGGCTGGTAACTCTAATTTCTTCCCCTCTCTTCTGAACCGGGCGTCAAAGGCTCTTCCTAGCAACCGTGTTTACTTGGAAGGCAGCCTGGCTCTGAAGGGCTTGGGCAGAGCTTCCACGAGAGCACTTCAAAAGGAGCTGCCTTCTTGATAAGCCTGAATCACCTGCCCCACTGTCCCACAAGGAAGTTTACTCTTGCTTTTATTGGGAGGTGTTAGCTTTCCCTGCTGGGCCTATAGCAGAGAGAAAATGCCATGACCGAGGGGAGACCCAGCTGAGGATTTCAGGGCTACCCTCTGAAGTCAGCATGCGTATCATCATGATGAATGAGAATGGTCATGCTTGGGTTTTAGTGTGTGCGTGGTGTATGCATGTCTGTGCACATGTGTGTGTGGTTGGATTCACGCATGGGTGTGCATGTGGAAGCCAAAGATGACTGTCCACTGTGTCACTCTCCACCTAATTTTTAAGACGGAATCTCAACGCACTCTCCACCTAACTTTGGGACAAGGTCTCTCGCTGAATAAGAATCCACATTTTGGCTTCTGACTGGCCAGTGAGCTCTAGGACCCTCGCAGCTCCTTTCCCAGCTCCAGAATTACAGACATGTGCTTCCCTGCCTGGCTTTTTACATGGATGCTGGGGATGAAATGTGAGTCCTGGTGCTTGCAGAGCAGGACTTTACCCAGTGAGCTATCTCCTCGGTCTTTGAAGCTGTAATCAAAAGGAGATGTACCTGAGGTAGCCTTAGTTTAAGCGAAACTTTGCCTTAATAATAAACCTTAGCCTCGTGATATCTCATTTGTTCTCAATAACTGGCCATATTGCCTGTTTTTGCATCTGTTTTATATGCAACCTCTTATAACTAGGGAAGTTTCCATTTTTTATTCACTTACTAATTGATTTATGCTTTCTACTGATTCTAAATATGCCTGTTTGTGGCTTTCTGTGAGACACCACACTTCGAACACTGAGGGTTAGATGAGCTGGCTTGTGGTTCCCCTAGTTCCACTCTCTATGTTTCTCTGTCTACCAAGAGCCCTCTCAGATCCCAAAAGCCCTGACTGGAAAATTCGTTTGTGGTTGCCTGGATGGGCAAACTTCCTGGAGAGTATTGCTCAACCATCTGAAAGTCATAAAACTTTCAGCTCTGCTACAATCTTATCTGTTGCCCAAGAAATAATATCTATGAAGAGGGCAGGTCAGTTCTTCCTTCCATGAAGACATCCTTGGGAGACCACCCCAAACAGATCTCCAGTTCTCCATAAAAGGCAGATAGACATAAATTATGTCTCTCTTACCTAAAGTCAGGACTTAGTCTGTAATATTCATTTCTTAAAAGCTAAAAGAAGACTCCCTCCTTGGCCTCCAAGTGTGAATGTGAGCCCCTTTGTTAAAGGTCACATTGTCTCCAATGCCTGTGATGATTTAGATTCTCTCTTGCTCTCTACCTCTCTCCTTCTCTCTCCCTCTCCCCCCCCAGTTCTTTTAAGATTTGATTCGATTTTCAAAAAAGTTTAGAACCATTTGCTCACACAGAAAAGGTAACTGTATTCTCCCCGTCAGTGTCGTCCAGAGCACACACACCTGTGCAATATGTCAAAATCAGATGCACTTGTGGCAGGTAAACACATGGTAGGTTCAGTACACGGTGTACATTCATCACTGTTTAGAGTTATAAATGAAGAAATATCCAATATTCCAAATATTGCCAGAATAATTTCCTCTCAGAACTATAGTAAAGCAAATTACAATTGAACCCGGGAGAGGCAGATTCTGTCTTTTGTGGTTGTTACTGCACTGAGTGGATCTGCCATGATCTGGGCTATTCAAAAGTTTACCTCTTCAGAATCAAAGAGCACTCACTGCTGTGTGGTATGTAGCACTCCAAGTTGATGATAAATTGGAATGCTTTTTATTTTCATAAGAAAGCTATAATGGGTGCTGTCATTCTTAACTTTGACTTACAGAAACCAAGGCTGACACATTTCCAAGCAATATTTACAAGTTAGTGGCACAAAGAGGATTAGTATCCAGAAGTCTATACATTTTCAGGCAGAGTCTACGGATTTAACCCCTTTACAGGATGATCGTAGTCCTTTTGGCAAGGGTTAAAGAACTTTAAGGAGAGAGACAGTGACAGAGACACAGAGACAGACAGAATCTGGAACATCTGGAGTAGGTCATAGCTCTACAGTCTATCAGAAACGATTTTAGAAAGTCAAGGATGAACACCAGTGGTAAAGGCGTTCTGGGCTGATGGTTGGTGCAGAATAAGAAGTTGCTCACGTAGACTCGAGCCTCTCAGTGAGCACAATGAAGGACACGAGAAGGAAAAAAAAAAAGGAATCAGGCGGGTTTGCAGCAGGGACATGTGTATCCGGTTGAGTTGTCTTCTGAACCTGCAGGACCCTGATCAGAAGCAGGACTCTGCCAGAGGCACTGTCAGATCAAACAAGAGTTCACTCAAGCTCTGTAAGTGTGATTTTCTAGAGATTTTCACTTACGGGCCTTATTTAAAAATCAGAAACGACCTACACAATCTTTTTATTTTTTACTTATGCTAATCTTTTATTTAAGCCCTGCATTTATGCTAGTCACACATTTTTATTGATTTTTTGTGCATTTCATACACATCATATATATATTTCCCCTCTTCCCTTTCAGCATCCTCCCGTGGCCCCTACCCCCTCGCCGTGCCTCTGGATTTCATGCATTCTTTCATTTATGTTAAGGTGTATGAACCAGGTTAGTGGTCTCTAACATTCCCTCAGTGCACGTTCAACTGCTGGGGTCTACTCAGCCTGTATAGAGTCACTTCCTTAAAGATCAGCCCTTGCTTACCCAGCAGTAATCAGCTGCCCCATAGCTCTTCAGCTAAATGCTGTACATTTCCACAGTTCTATGGTGAGATTTTTGTCTGCTTGAGTTTGCATGGGTCTTGCACATACTGAGACCATTGCTGTAAGTTAATATGTGCAAGGTCCCAGGAGCCTCTAGGACTCCATTTCCATATGGCCATGCATGTTTTTCCCTGACTCTTATAATCTTTCTGTTCCCTCTTCTGCAACGGCCCCTGAGCCCTGGGTTCATTTCCCTCTGTTTCATGAGAGAGCTTTGATGATGAGAGAGATGCATTAGTGTTCTCTCTGCACCCTCTTCCATATGTTTCATGAGCCTTAGATGTAGAGGTTCCCTTGTAGATGTGTCACTTAGGGTTGGGCATACACAGTCTCTGTGTATGACCAGATGTGGAACTCTATAATAGTCTTCATCTGTCGCAAAAGAAGCTTTGATGAGTGGCGACTGAAAGACTCATCTATAAATATAAGGGTCCATATCTAGAACATAGTAAGAAATTACATTTGTCTAGGGATGTGACAGCCTTGGGGATTTTCTCTAAGATCTATTACATCTCCAGCCACATATATCTGACTGTACTTATAGTACCACACATTTGTTCCTTCCCATGAGTGGCTTTAAATTCAATTAGGTAGCTCTTGATTGCCCCCAAGATAAAAATGCCACTACTGCACCAATGTAGTTCACTGTGCCAGGCATTGTTGTGGTTATTAGGACTTAAAGCTGAGGTTGGACCATCCGTTGATGTTCTCCCTTAGCAGCTCGCATAGCGTCCTCCAAATCTATGAGAGGTAACCTCATAGGGAGGTGGCTTTCACGTCAATTTTAGCTCCATTGCTCCAAGTCCTGTGTTCAAAGTATGACCTATCTTCATCAATAGAGTCTTGTCTTCAAGTTCTGGAAGGCAATCAAGGGCTGTGGAAATAGCCTGTGTAATTTTGGAAATCTCTTGGACTATCCTGGCCAACAACTCAATGGGAGGCTTCTCCCGTTTGGTACTGTTATTGTTGTTCTCGTTCTTGTTGTTATATAGCCTTTAGCTATATACATAGATGCATATAGAGTTATTATATGTGTAATTTTTCAGTAGGCTTTTGAATTAATACATTTACTGCTAGTTTTTTACACCAGATAGGCATTATTTATCTCTCCTCTCTCTCCCTGTCTAACCCTTCCTTCCCAGTTAAAGTACCCCCATTTTTCCCATTCCTCTCTTGAAAATATCTGTTCCTAATGGTCTCCCCTCTCTTGAGCTGCTTCTTCCCCTTCACCCCCATAGTTCCTTGTATAACCCTCCCTCCCACCCTCCCATTTAAGTACCCCTATCTATTTTCAGCTTGTTAACACCTGCTTCCTACTGTTCTTCTCAGGGTCCTTCTTTCCCTTTATCTCCCTGGTTCCTTCCAAGTTTCCTGGCTATTGCAGTCACATATAAGAATTTGGTGCTAGAATCCACAAATAAGGGAGAACATATGTCCTTTGTTTTTCTGAGTCTTTGTTACTTCACTTAGTATAACACTTTCTAGGTCCATCCATTTATCTGCCAATTTCATGATTGTGTTTTTTCTTTACCCCTGAGTAGAACTCTATTGTGTAAATGTACCACATTTTCATTACCCACTTGTCAGTTAAGGGACACTTAAGTTGATTCCATTTCCTAGCTATTGTGAAAAAAGCAGCAACACACATGGATCTCTGCAGTAGGATGAGTCCTTTGAGTATATGCCAAGGAGTGGTATAATTGGGTCTTATGGTAGGTTTGTTTTGGGTTTTAAGAGCTCCCCACACTGCTTTCCATAGTGGTTGCACAAGTTTGCAATCCCTCCAGCAGTGAATGAGTGTTCTCCTTTCTCCACATCCTCTCCAGCATTTGGTATCATTTGTTCTCTTGATCTTGGCCAGTCTGGCTGGGGCAAGATGAAGTAATAAGGTGGTTTT